CACTGGCCGTCAAGATTTGTCCTGAACTATGAAAGCAGTCGGAGGAGTGGATGCGAAGTAGACTCCATTCTTTTACAAATTCTGGAACGACGAGAAAAGCTTTGTATGAGGAGGCTGCCTTATGGGGTGATAAAGCGCTGCAATCAGTCCGAGCTGATACAATAGTATCAATGGTTAGTCTTTATTTTAAGGTACCCCTTGGATTATTGCCAAGTTGTTGTTTCATTTACGGTAACCTGAGTAGTTAAATGTTATGGAAGCCCTGTCATGATGTGGTTGGTTGTAATGTATGACTGTGGTGATTTTGACTGATGGGAAAATATTTGTAAGGGTTTACTTGGGTACGAATGTTGGTTAGGAAGTACGTTGATTATTCTTTGCTTTACATCGTAAAATGCCTGCTGATGGTACAATTAACCTGAAGTTTCTGTATACTTTGGAATGATTGGGAAAGAAAACATTGATTGACTTATGTGTAAATGAAGGTTTAAATGGCTTTGATCACCTCTTGGTAAATTATGTAGTGAGATTTAAGGATTTTGAAACTGGAGCTCATATCATTATGGAATATATAAGGGGTGTTTTAAAAAGGTGATGCTAGTTTAGATAATTTTAAATAGTTTTGGGATGCTGTTAAGGAATTCTGTGTGTCGCACATATTAAAGAAACAGAAATTTTTAAATAAGTCAATATTTCCTTTTTGTACTTCGTAGATTAGATAACATGTATTTCCATTTTTATGTTATTTCCTTGTTTGGTGTTTAAAATGCAGTTTATTGAGATTATATATTTTTTGTTTTAATTATGTTTTATTGCATTGTTTTGGACACCATTTTACTGGGAAGGGCATTGGACATAAGACAGGAATGGTACCAAAAAATCGCCAAGGGGTACCCTTTTTACCGTATCAGCTTTCATTAAGTTGGAAATCAATGAAAAAGAAAATTAAGATGGAGAATTTGAGAGACTAATGAAAGTGACTTTAACGGCCATTTGTTAAATTTATTTAATTCTGAAACTGATGAGTTGGATTTTGAAGATTTCGTGTAAATAATAATTATAAAATTCTGTTTGATTACCTAATTTATGTATTCTTTTTCATAATATGATAATTTATGGTGATAAACAAGGTTTGCCGAATTCGTGAAAGTAGACTATAGCAGTGGTTCCCAAACTGTGTGCTGCTCCAGGAAGCTGGGGCTTTTTCGACAGGGGTGCCACGAAATATTGTAAAAGCTAATCGAGCCAAGCTATTTAGCCTCACAAACACACACACACACACACAAAAAAAAAAAAAAAAAAAAAAGAAGAAAAAGAAGCTACAAATATCTGGATATTTTGTGTGGCTTGTTTTTACTTGACTGTGTATAAAGTCACCAGGGCAGAATATTCTTGCGAAGCAAGCTGGCAACACAGTGCATTCTTGATTGCACTGTATCTCATGAAAAATACCAAAAATAACCTGAGAGCACATACAAGGATAGAACAACATTTTCAGGGCTTATTCTGGAAAAAGAAATGGTAAAATTTTCTTTGTATTGCTGCTAAAGTTAGCTCATCATGTTTGATTTGGGTTTGTATGTACTGACTTTCAGAAATCAGTTTTCCCCAGGAGTTGAAATTCCACCATTTTCTTTCACGTTGCATTTCATGTGGTTTTTGCTTGTCACAGAAATGCCACTCAAATCAGCATTAATAGTAACCATTTCGTTACCTGATTTATTAGGAAAATGCTCCCACAGTTTGACAAAAGCATTCATAATGATAATCTTAGCGGAGCGGTATACAGTCAAAAGTCGTTAATTCGGACACCCATAATCCGGACCTCAAAGCTACAAACTTTCTGTGCATGCGTCGCGTTCACGCATGCGCACAGGCATTTAAGAGTGCGCGTAAGACCTTTATGGCTGCGAATATGTTTGTGCACATGCGCGTTTAATTTGTAACGGAGGTATAAGCTAAGCTAAAATTATCTAATTCAGTTAATGTTGCAGATTGCGTTGTTCGTTAATCTTCGAATTGGATCTGGCTTATTATTTTTTGCAGACTGTTAGAGCAATTTCATAAAAGTATGCTTGAACTTTCGATTATGTCAAATAGAATTTCCGACATATATTTACTAATATGTAATTTGTATCTACAAAGTGAAAGTATGTTTGAAATCCGAAATCTGTTTATCAATTTCACGCCGCGGATTGGAAGTTGATCTGTCAGCACTATCCTTATCTTCAGGCAGATGTTTTTATTTTTTTGGCTTATAATTCCTTACCTAAGTGTAGTATTTTTATCTCGATGTACTCCGTTTTGATATGATTTAAATCAAGTTCCTCGTCATTTAATTCGCTTCCGATAGTGAAGAAAGTGACCCAGAGGATTATTGAAAACGAAAACATTTCGATGACAAATTAGTCGGTATTCGCAACACAGCAATTATAGGACTTGAACAGCGGAACTTTGAACTAAACAAGAAATTATGTCTGTTTATAGAATTAAAGAGAAAGTATTATCACATGAAACGAAGCAACTTACATTGAAAGAAATGTTTAATAAAGTAAACAAATAATATTAAGCTTTTTTCTTTTTTGTAAATTTTTTGATACCCTTTAGATCATAATTGTTCTTTATTTTATAAATTACGGTTTCATATTTTTAATTTTGTAATTTCTGCATGCCATCTTACCAGATTTAAACTGATGATCTATAATCCGGAATCGCCGAAGTCCTGACGAGTCCGGATTAACGACTTTTGACTGTAGTGGTTTTTCGGCCTTATAAAGTTCTGAAACTATACACATTTGTCAAATGTGAAGTGGACGTCATAAAAGCTTTCTTCTCTTCTTACTCAGTGAATGACTGAGTTCTTTAATTGCTGTTCTCACCGAGGTTGGGGCTGCTGTGATTTTCAGTTTGGTCAATAATGCCAAAAAAGGGATCTCTTCCTATTGGTCATGATATTAGCAAATTTTTAAATAAAAAAGTGGATGCAATGTAATCTATCTATATTTCCTTCCATTTACTTTGCTAAACAATATTTATATTTCATAGCATAATTTTTACAATATGACATCTCTAAGCGGTAGAATTATATTCTGTGACAGAATTCTAATATATTCACTGTTCTCAACTTAGGCTGATCATTAATATAGACGGTGCACAGACCCTTCACGACAGATTTGAACTGTTCTGGAAAATCTTGCAGAAAGCATATAAGCAAGCGCTTTCGGCTAGATTCAGTCTTTTACACTTCTTAAGAGTAGTAAAAAAAGTTTTTAAGTCTAGTAAAATAAAACTTGGTGCTTCAAATAAATAAACAGTAATATAAATTACTTCATGTTGTATAGTTAGTGTTATATAACTTCTTGTTTGTTGTCTTTGATAAATAGTCTTTTGATTTTTTTCCTGATATATCTTTGGGCCGATTTCGGAGCAATAATAAACCAGTTATTGATTTTGGAGCAGTAATAAATAATAGTGCAGATAAAGTATACTTTCAACCAGTGGCATGACTGTCAAGAAACAAATATATCACAAATATGATGATGGTAACTTAGAGTTTAGTTTTACGTCAACAGAAATGAATGTTGAACAGAGTCCATAATGTATACTGTGTATGAAAGTTTCGGCAGTGGAGTGTATGCTTCCAAGATAACTGAAGTGCTATTTAAAATCTAATCTTCACAGCATGGCTGGTAAACCTCAATGATTTTTTGGCCAGAAAGTTAAAAGAACTAAAACTACAACAACTCAAAAAAAAAAAAAAAAAAATACTGGATGAATAGTCAGGGTGGCTTGTGGAATTGCAAAATGTAAGAAGCCTCATAACATCACAGAACTTATTTTGCCGCTACTATAGATATGGTGAACATCATGGTTGATGAGCAAAGCTGCTTTTAAAAGTGTCTTTGCTCATTAACACAATTAGAGTATACAACATCCGGCAAAGGATATCAACGATCAATTAATTGAAAAAACTTAAAGGAGTGGAATTTGGATTATAGGTAGATGAGGCAGCGATAAGCTATGTATGGTTTATAGATGATAATAATATTAAAGAAGACTTTTGTAAAAATATTACTGCAAGAGAAAAGGCTGAGAACCTGTTCGAGATTCTTGACACATTCATATCTGAAAATAATTTGAATTGGCCTAAGTGCATTGGTGTCTGTACTCATGGAGCTCACTCTATGTCTGGCTGCTATGAAGGATTAATTATATGCACTTATTCTCATTGCACTTAAAGTAATTCGCCAAGTGCACTGTGAACCCATTGCATTATTCACAGAGATGCACTTATGTCACAGCATCTGAGTCCTGCACTGAATCAGGTGTTAAAATGAGCAGTGAATCTGGTAAATTTTATAAAATCTCATCCACTGAAAGCCACGTTTTTTTAAAAAACTGTGAGAGAATATGACAGCCAAACATTCATATTTGTTACTTCCTTGTACAAGGTAAAAAAAAGGAAGTATTGTAATAGCAAAAAATTTCAGGCATCATATTTCAATGAAAATATCCATTTTGACCACTATCGAATGCAATTTAACGATGTTTTTGAGTAACATCCGCATGTAAGAATGGAATAAAGGACTTCCCCCCAAAAAAAAAATTAAAAAACTGATTTAAAATGAATTCTGAAGAGATTTTTTTCGTGGCGTCTGTAGGTATGTACGTACGTACGTATCTTGCATAACTCAAAAACGACTTTATTTCTATTAAAAGAAATCTTTTTAATATGTATATTTACAACATATATGAAGGAACAAAAAACATTTTTTAAATTTATATGTCTGAATTAAATTATTACTCACTCTTAAAAAAAATGAGCAACTAACTAAATACTACAATGCATTCTTCGAAAGGATTATACTGAGAGTAACTAGTCTGTTTATTTAGTATACCACACATTTTTCAATTACGCTAAGAAATTTAACATTATTAACTTAAAGAGAATAAAGTGTGGAATTTATTCACATGCATGTATATAGTTGTAAAAATATTACCTCTAAAAATTAATTCAGATTTTATAAATAAAATTTCAGGAGTCTTGAAGTCAAATGAATCATTTAACTTATTACAATATGATCCTTGGAGCCTGTTAAAATAAAAAGAGAACATGAAAATTATAAAAAAAATAAAATATTAATACATAATCTGATTAAAGTTGCATTCTTATTAATCAAAATAATATGTATTTTTTAAAGTAAAAATATAAATTTATTAGCTCTCACATACATTACCTGGCCAAAAGTATCTAGAGACCCCCTAAAGAAGTGAATCTGGCAGGTGACCTGATATGATGCATAACCAAAAGCTATAAAAGTACTGGTAATAGTTTGTCAGGTCATATTTATGAGATTGTGAGATGATGAGTAAGTTAAAGGAGCTCAGTGACTTTCCTCGTGGCAGAATAGTTAAGATTCCACCCTTGTGGGAAATCAGTTCGTGAAATTTTGGATATTCTACAAAAGCCCAAATCCATTGTGAGTGATGTAACTGTGAAATGGAAATGCTGAGGCAGTGAAACTGCAAAAAAATGAAGTGGCAGGCTGAAAAAATTAGTGAAAGCAGCTGTAGAACTCTGATAAGGGCAGTGAAAACAAAATTGCAAGTTCTCAGTTGAAATAATTCAGGAGTTCAAAAATTCCTCAGGCGTTAGAAGTAGGACTGTTCATTTAGAGTTAAAAAATCTGGGATTCCATACTTGTGCAGTCATTCATAAGTTGAACATTACTTCCCGGAATGTGAAGTGTCGATTGCAATACTGCAAAGCTCATCTTCACTGGACTACAAACATGTGGAAAAATGTTCTTTGGAGTAACGAATCTTGCTTTATAATCTGGCAGTCCAAAGGACACATCTGGTTTACAAACTGGTTGGTTCTTGCCTGACAAACGTTTTTTAAGTGACTGTATTTGTGATGACTTGTAAAGTTTAGTAGTGGCAGCATCACGGTGTGGGTTTTTCAAGTTTAGTAGTGGCAGCATCATGGTGTGGACTGTAAAGCTTAGTAGTGGCAGCATCATGGTGTGGGCACACAGTTAGTACAGTACAAAGTTCGAAATCGGGAGTGATCAAAAATCCGGACCTCAAAGCCATAAACATTTTTTTTTAATTAATGCTTTACGCATGCGCATTTGATTTTTTTTTCCATAATAAAACGTGGAGATTTTCACTTAAAAATTTTGATTCGGTACAACTCTAATATATGCCCTAATTTCACCAAATGTGTGTTTTGCTGGTTTGGCGCGATTGCGTGTTCTGGCAACCCTGTTGACGTTGAAAAATCTTTCGCTGGAGCTCATGGTTCGCTCTCTGTCTAAGAAGATGGAGGGAAAGATATGGTAGTTGTTGAATTGAAGTTGCAAAAGGAAATATGATTGTGGCTATCCTGTTGAGGGTAGTGGTATTTGGAACTGTGGAAAGAAGGTCTGGGAGATTATTTTAATGGCAGGCATTATAGAAGTAGGGATTTGCAATTTATATTTGTGGAACCATAGTATAATTTTCTGATAGGGTTGGCTGTCATGTAATACGATAGTGATTGTGGCGCATGTTAAAGGCGGTATGAATTTATTTTCTGCTATTAGAAACGCATTAATCATGTTCTTTTTTTGTTCGATGTGTTATGTTCATTGTTCTTTAGTAATGAATGTTTCGTTATTGTTGTTTTTTAAATTTTTTGAATTTATTTTAGTTTTATTTTGTTGTTTAGCTGTCTAGACTGTACATTCGTAGATGTTTTTGTTAAACAACGCTGTGTACTGGTAGTATTTGAAATTTTTATTGTTTCTTTTGTTGGCTAGGGGGGGGATCGTAGATTCTTCTTGCCTAATTGGCTTCGTGAATTTTTTTTAAAGTTTAAACAGGATGCTGTGTAAATGGTATTCTTGAAATTTATTGTTGTATGTAATAAAGCGAGGTCTGCGTAGTTTGGATTCGTTCGTTGCCTCATTGTGCAATTCGTAGATGTTTTTTTAAGTTAAAAGGTGTAAACATGGATTCTGTCAAATATTTTTGGTTAGAAACTTACGTTTTGCATACCTGCCACCTCTAAAATAAAAATTCAGAAGATTTCTCTCCCCCAAATTCAGAAGAACACGAAGAAATATCATGCTTTGATATTAAAAAATAACAATTTATACAAATAGAAAAAAGAAATTGTACTTACTAGTAATCTCTTAAGTAGTAACTAAAAAATTTATTAGGAAACATAAAACAAGAACTTATGCTACACAAAAAAATTATTGCAATGAATTTAGAGTGCATTTTTTGGCTTTAGCCAAAATTCTTTGAAATTTCTGTCAATACAATTGTTTCCTATAACATTTAGAATAAAATGATTTCTAGCGTTTTTGGTGAAATGAAGAACGAAACATAGTTTTGTTTTTCTTCACGACACTGAAGACTCTCTGCACTAGCATTACTGTGTGGAAGTATGAGAATGCACATAAAACTCTTGCTAGTCTATCATATTTTGGGTTCCATCAGCTCGTTTTTTCTTTTTAAAGTACAACGAGACTCAAGTCTATCTTCTCCAGAACTGGCAAGTCTTCACTGTTAAACAAACTTCTGCCAAAAATTACATCGGAATCCGAATTCGAGCCGAATTTGAAAAAAAATCAACCCACTTTCTTTGACGTTGTCAAGCCGAAGCATTGAATTCATGCTTTTAGACCTTAACATGCTTCACAATGTCGCTTCTTCCACCGTGACGATTATGAAGTCAAACACGCACACGTGCAAAATGCATAGTTATTTCCTTGAAGGATTCTTTAATTGTGGAATTCGCTTTGTAGGCAGGACGAAATTTGAGAATACGGTTTTTGAATCATTTCGTATAACGACGCATTAGAAAATTTATAGCACGTGCAAACACACACACACACAAAAAAAAAAAAAAAAGAATGCGTTATCCACGTTGAAAACAACCTGCGCCCACAAGAAAAGATGGGAGAACAAGTTCAGCACATGGGCTTGGCTGTTAAGTGGCGAGTGGGAGAAACCGCGGTTACTGGATTCAAGTAGTCGGTAGTTGGTGGTAAAACAGATGCAATTGGCGAAAAATTCTAAAATTTCAACAAAATCACTAAAAAAACACTTGAAAAAGGAAAAAAAAAAATCGTAAAATGGATTACGATCGTAAATCGTAAACAACGCATTTCGTAAAAATTACGTAAAATTCGTAAAAGTTGGCAGGTATGTTTTGATTCTAAATTTTTGTTTTTTGTTTCGGATTTTTAGCTAAATTGTGTGTTCAAACTTAGTTTTTTTCCATGTGCGAAAACCGCGTTTTTTGGAGACATTTTAGCTAAAGTTCAAAATGTAGACAAAAATTTAGATAGTAATATGGCAGCGTGAAGTTTCTCGCCAAAAATATTTGGCGACTTGAGGGCGCATATCAGAGTAGTTCCTTTGATTCTTAATTTCATTTAGGCACTAAATAAAATACCTCGTTATGGAAAAACAATCATGTAAGCATAAATTTGCGAGATCAATAATTTGTCTTCGTAGCTGAGTATCTACTTGGCATACATCTCAAACCGAAACATTCACTTATTTTATATCCCTGACGCCAACCTGGCAAATCATTATTTATTATATTCTGCTTTCATCACTGCATGTTTATCAATACATGGCAGCTTCAGTAATAACTCATGCTGTGATGTCTAAACTTTTTTTACATTAGAAATTGAATAACAAGAGTATGGCAACCTTTTATGCTAACATTACACTTGGCGATGATTATAGATTTTTAAATGCTCTAAGAAATGTTGACGAGGAAAAATTCAACAAAAATTAGGGTCCCTTAGTTCTTGTGATTGGAAACTTGAACAATAAGATGTATGTGGACATTCTGGACAATACTGCTCTCCCAACTCTATGGCAGTATTTCATGAAAGATCCATTTCTCTTCCAGATGGATAACTTCTCCATTCACACACTGAGACATGTGCAGCCATAGTCTGATAATGCACAGAAACTGGGATGGCCTTCTCAGAGTTCCGATCTAAATCCCACAGAACTCTTTTCGGATGAATTATAAAGCCGATTACATAGCCAGGCAAATTGACCAACCTCTCCAACAGCACTCACTCCAGCTGTGATGGATGCCTGAAAGTTTATTCACATGTCACATATCCAAAACTGAGGAAAAGTCCTTCCAGACCTGTGCAGCTATCATCGATGTAAAGAGGAGACCACCATCATATTAATATGTGCCTTAGGACTTTCTGAGTCCGCATACTTTTGGCCAGATAGTGTATAACGCCTATGTGTTAGGACTATTTTATAAGGCCATATATGTTGCTAATTCACAGAGTTGTAATACATATACCAAAAAGAGTAAATTTTTACAATTTAGAGGTGGTTAATTTTTTAGAATTTACTGACTCACTGTATACACACATGAACAATTTTAGGCATTATAAAATAAAAACATATAATGAGTACTTAATGTAATCTGCCTCAATCAACTGCTTACACTCATATGATTTTTAAGCAAGTACAACATATATACACTTCAGCTAATACAATTCAAGATCTGGAGCTGGTGGGACTTCAGATTTTAGATCATCAGTTTAAATCTAAGAAAATGACAAGTAGACACATACAGGTAGAAAAAGGCATGACATCAGAATTTCACCACTGGTCGTACAGGAATAATCCCACCACACTAGCTGTGCAGTTATGCATAGATTTTGAGGGGAAAAGCCTCAAGGGCCTGCTTCGGTCTATCGTTTTTGGGGGCACACAGTTAGTACAGTACAAAGTCCGAAATCCGGACCTCAAAGCCATAAACATTTTTTTTTTTTTTTTTTTTTTATTAATGCTTTACGCATGCGCATTTGATTTTTTTTTCCATAATAAAACATGTGAAGATTTTCACTTAAAAATTTTGATTCTTAATTTCATTTAGGCACTAAATAAAATACCTCGTTATGGAAAAACAATCATGTAAGCATAAATTTGCGAGATTAATAATTTGTCTTCGTAGCTGAGTATCTACTTGGCATACATCTCAAACCGAAACATTCACTTATTTTGTATCCCTGACACCAACCTGGCAAATCATTATTTATTATATTCTGCTTT